CTTTTGCTTTTGACAGAGTAGTGGATGTATCGGCACGTGTGCTGTTACGCTTGTCTCCACATGCTTCCTTGTATCCTTCTCACTTGCCCTATTTGTTCCTCAGGCAGATGCGGTATCTTCCCTGGAAGCATAAGATGTTGAAGATGAGTACTCGAGAGCAATGCCAGGTAAGTAATCAGGTAAGGGGTTCCAGGCAGTCAGTTCCTGGCTGGAAGCTTGATTCCAAGTGCTGACTGATTGCTCTCTTTCTCCTTGTCTTGCAGGTAAGAACAAGGCCAAAGGAAAAGACAGGGAAAAAGCATGATATATGGGATACTCTTGCTTTTAACCCTGATGATATGAGATATTCTTGCTCTAGTATAGCTTGTTTACAGAGGTATTATCGGGGGGAAAGAAAGCTGAATATTTCGAAAGGCTTCGTTGGGAGTGCCCTCTCAAATAAGAGAAAGGGTTGAGCATTTTTGCAGGTCTGCCTGTCCGTTAGGGATGGAGGTCGACATATATAGGAGTCTCCCTAACATCAAGTAATAATGCTATTCCTTTACTCTGCTTGGTTATAGCACGGTAGTGGGAGCTGCCAGCTTCACATGTTTTAACTCTGTCAGAGCACTTTGAAAAAGTGGTCTGTGGTATCTGGAAAGCTGATGTTGCGTGTGAAGATTACAGACAAGCTTAATCCAAGGAGATCCAGCTCTTGAAGTTGGGAAAGTGGTGCCTCTTCGATTTTCGAACAAGCAATCCTGTCGGGGATCTGGCTCTCAAGATTCGGAGAACGATGCCTCTTCGATTTTTGAGAAAGTAATCATGCTGGGGGTCTGGCTCTCGAGATTCGGAGAGCGGTGTCTCTTCGATTTTTGAGAAAGTAATCATGTTGGGAGTCTGGCTCTCGAGATTCGGAGGCGGTGCCTCTTCGATTTTGGAGCAAGCAATCTTGTTGGGAGTGTTTTCTCGAATGTGAGTAAAGGTTGGACGTGTTTGCTAGTCTACCTTGCCACGAAGTACAGAGGTTGACACACAGGGACTTTCCAATTATCCAGCAGTGGTACTGTTCCTTTACCCTCTCTTCGATTTTTTGAGAAAGTAATCATGTTGGGAGTCTGGCTCTCGAGATTCGGAGGGCGGTGCCTCTTCGATTTTGGAGCAAGCAATCTTGTTGGGAGTGTTTTCTCGAATGTGAGTAAAGGTTGGGCATGTTTGCTAGTCTACCTTGCCACGAAGCACAAAGGTTTGACACACAGGGACTTTCCAATTATCCAGCAGTGGTACTGTTCCTTTACCCTCTCTTCGATTTTTGAGAAAGTAATCATGTTGGGAGTCTGGCTCTCGAGATTCGGAGGGCGGTGCCTCTTCGATTTTGGAGCAAGCAATCTTGTTGGGAGTGTTTTCTCGAATGTGAGTAAAGGTTGGGCATGTTTGCTAGTCTACCTTGCCACGAAGCACAGAGGTTGACACACCGGGACTTTCCAATTATCCAGCAGTGGTACTGTTCCTTTACCCTTGTGGGTAATAATATGGTAGCTAGACCTTCAAAATTTATGTGTTTAAACTTTGTTAGTGTTGTTTCTTTGCAATTCTTTTACCCTTCTTGGTCAGAGCGATGTAGTGGGAGCTGCAAGCTTCACGTGTCTCAACTTTGTCAGAGAACTTTGGCAAAGTTATCTGTGGTACCCATGAGCTACTGTTGCGTGTGGGAAGTGGGTGATTGAACAGTACGATTCATGTGCTTTCTACTTCGTCAGAAATCTTCGACAGAATGCCCATAATTTCCGCAAAGCTGAGTGTGCGTGTGACAGGTGCTGACAAGGCTGGAAAAGTAGATGCCTCTTCGATTTCTGAGATCGGCCCTCGTGGTCTCTGAGCAGCCCAGCTTTTGAGAAAGCAAGCCTCTTCGATTTCTGAGATCGGACTTCGTGGTCTTTGAGCAGCCCAGCTTTTGAGAAAGCAAACGCCTCTTCGATTTCTGAGATCGACCCTCGTGGTCTCTGAGCAGCCCAGCTTTTGAGAAAGCAAACGCCTTTTCGATTTCTGAAGCTTCGTCGAGTGCAGATTTTTATAGGGGCTGACATTAAGTTCCAAAGCACACTTGAATATCCACCAGTAGAAGCTCCATTCTTGCACTTCTAAGATCTTGATTTGTCCGACCTCTTCTCTCTTCAACACCTTTGAAAATGTCTGGCCCCTCCGACCGTCGTTTTGACTTGAACCTTGTTGAAGAGGCAGCCCCGCCTTCTCCAGACAACATATGGCGCCCATCCTTCGTCTCCCCTACTGGTCCTCTTACCGTTGGGGATTCCGTGATGAAGAATGATATGACCGCTGCGGTAGTGGCCAGGAACCTTCTCACTCCCAAAGATAACAGACTACTTTCCAAACGGTCTGATGAGTTGGCTGTTAAGGATTCTCTGGCTCTCAGTGTTCAGTGTGCAGGTTCTGTGTCTAATATGGCCCAACGCCTATTTGCTCGAACCCGCCAAGTTGAATCATTGGCGGCTGAAGTGATGAGTCTCAAACAAGAAATTAGAGGGCTCAAGCATGAGAATAAACAGTTGCACCGGCTCGCACATGACTATGCTACAAACATGAAGAGGAAGCTTGACCAGATGAAGGAATCTGATGGTCAGGTTTTACTTGATCATCAGAGATTTGTGGGTTTGTTCCAAAGGCATTTATTGCCTTCGTCTTCTGGGGCTGTACCGCGTAATGAAGCTCCAAATGATCAACCTCTGATGCCTCCTCCTTCTAGGGTTTTGTCCAGTACTGAGGCTCCGAATGATCCCCCTCCGGTGCCTTCTCTTTCTGGGGCTCTACCGACTGCTGAGACTTCTCCTAAGCAACCTTTGTGAAGGCTCCCTCTTGTTTGTTTATTTTGACTCAAGTATATGTACATATTTGTAACTTATCGGGGATATCAATAAATAAGCTTTCCTTCATTTCAACGTATTGTGTTAAATACACCAAAGCCTTCTTCGCTAAGTTCTTTGAATTTTCTTTTGTTGAAGCTTGTATGTTGAAGCTTTGTGAGTGGAACATATAGGTTGAGGTAGTGTTCCCTTAATTTCCCGAGTGAGGACAACTTCTCGGTTGGAGACTTGGAAAATCCAAGTCACTGAGTGGGATCGGCTATATGAATCTTAGAACGCCATTGTGTTCTGTCCTGTGTCATGTCCTCCGTTAGATCCAAGTACTCTAAGTCTTTTCTTAGGGTCTCTTCCAAAGTTTTCCTAGGTCTTCCTCTGCCCCTTCGGCCCTGAACCTCTGTCCCATAGTCGCATCTTCTAATCGGAGCGTCAGTAGGCCTTCTTTGCACATGTCCAAACCACCGTAACCGATTTTCTCTCATCTTTCCTTCAATTTCGGCTACTCCTACTTTACCCCGGATATCCTCATTCCTAATCTTATCCTTTCTCGTGTGCCCACACATCCAACGAAGCATCCTCATCTCCGCTACACCCATTTTGTGTACGTGTTGATGCTTCACCGCCCAACATTCTGTGCCATACAACATCGCCGGCCTTATTGCCGTCCTATAAAATTTTCCCTTGAGCTTCAGTGGCATACGGCGGTCACACAACACGCCGGATGCACTCTTCCACTTCATCCATCCAGCTTGTATTCTATGGTTGAGATCTCCATCTAATTCTTTGTTCTTTTGCAAGATAGATCCTAGGTAACGAAAACGGTCGCTCTTTGGTATTTCTTGATGTCCGATCCTCACCCCTAACTCGTTTTGGCCTCCATTTGCACTGAACTTGCACTCCATATATTCTGTCTTTGATCGGCAAAAAAACGGGGTGGAGTTGGAGGAAAAGGGAAAGATGGGGAAATCGGGAGGGAATAGAGGGAGAGATGGGAAGAAAGGGAGGAAACAAAGGGTGGAAAAAAGGGAAGAGGAAGTAGGGCGAAAATTAGGGAGAGATGGGGAGATAAGGATGAAACAGAGGGTGAAAGAAAAGGGAAGAGGGAGGAGGGAAGGGAGGGAAGGGTACTGGGCTACCATTGATCCCAAGGCGGAGCAAGAGGCAGACCACAAAGAGGGATTCCCAAATTTGGGCGCTTTGGGGGAGAAAGGGCACGGAGTCATAGGCTGTCTCTCCACATTTTGTTCGAATTTAAAATAAACAGTTACAACTGTTTTGAAAAGGCATCAGGATGCCTATATATCTTAAGAACCTTCCTTTGCATTCTTTCTTGGTCATTTTTGCAACCCTCGTCCATACAAACTTCTTAGAGAAAAATACGAAGAAGTTTTCCTACGCAGAACCACAGACATTGAGTAAAGGCGAAATTATGTTTCAAGGACATTGCAAATCCGCAAGCCTATTTGTAGAATCCGTTAATTCATTGCATTTTTACAAAGAGTCCGTTCGTTCGATTGGGATCCAAACAAGAGCATGATGATGAAACAAATCGCTAAATTTGATGGCATGGATCATGTAAGAAAAGACTTGGTCCTTCCAGTTCATGCAACATAGATACAACGACCTGTTGTCACTATTCGGCCCTGCTTGTTCAGGCGCATCGTCCGTGCCGCCACTGCCTCCCTCTTTCTCCCGATTGGCCATGATGCCATGCTAGCTAATTGCTAATGGTTGAAATCTATACATCCACCTAAAAGCCCTAGCTAGCTCGGGTTTCTTAGTTCTCATGTTTGACGCTTTCCTTCTTCCCATTGGTCTCTAAATATATATGAGAGCGACGTCTTGAATAGCTTTTTCTTCTTCCAAATATACTTTGGCAAACTTATTTTACTTCCACTTGACAGCAAGCAAAGAGCTCGTTTTTTATAATGCTTCAGTATTTGGAGGAAGACAAATACATGGAGACTGTTCACAGGTCAGTGAGCTTCTACTTTAGCTTCTTTACTAGTAAAAATGCCCGCGCGTTGCTGCGAGACTTGAATGCACCAACCTTAACCACATGAATTAAGACATTTAACTTGAAAAAAAAAAATCAACATAATCAAGAACAAACAAAAGGGATAGATGAGTAAAAGGTGTCGGTAAGATAAGCAGTTCGACTTTTATATACATTCAACCGAGCTGATTATAAAAGGTATAGTTGCAAAAAAATGCTCTGTTTCCTTGAGAAACAGAAGTAACATGCATTTAACACTTATATTGCCCTTCAAGTTAAGATGGCAAAATATATGTCCTACAGGCCAAGCACGTGTTTTAACAGCTAAACAAAAAAGCAAAAAAAAGTGTGTTGTTCTTGTTTCAGCAGCTAATCTTTCAAGCACTAATGTTCAAAGCTAAAAAGATGCAGGATGCCTGTTTCCATAAGTTACAGAAGAAACAGAAGGAAGATGTAGTCCACACATATTTTGCCCCTGTAGTAAAGGTGGCTAAATACTTGTCCTACAGGCCAGGCACCTGTTTAAACAGTTAACAAAAAACATAAAAATTGTTCCGTTGTCGTTTCAGCAAGTTTTCAAGCACACATGTTCAAAGGTAAAAACATGGAGAGCGGCTTTATAACAGCTGATAAAACATAACAATCAACAAACTAAAGCTTTAAGCAACTAAATAAAGCACGGTTGGGTTTAACCTTGGGAATTAGGAATTAGGATAAGGGCCTAAATGTCAAACAAATTATAAGTATTGTATAAAAGGGTTAAGATCAGGGCCTAAACGTATTATAGCATGTTGCATAGATACAATAAGGTTAAGCTAAGGGCCTAAATGTATTATGGCATGTTGCATAGATATGTAAAAACTATTTATATAGAACATGCACAAATTATTTATATAAAGTATATAGTAGTAGTTTATAGCTTGGCTATGTACACTGATATATACATATTAAGAGATGCCCAAAATATAGTCGCTCCTATTTTACCGATGTACTCCAAACATTGGAGCACTTTGACTACTAAGGATTAGTTGGTAGCTTAGTTATATTTGTAGAACCTTCTATACGTAGAGAGTTGATAGGATTTACATAACTTGTTTAGGGCTGATCTTCAACGATATTGCACCCTTGAGCTCATTCTTTTTTCTCTTTGGTTCCTGTTACAAAACAAATCAACCAAATAAAGAAAAATTAGTATGTCAAACAAAGAAATTATAACAGCTAAAAAAGTAGTTGATCTGTCTACCACACAAATGGTTATACAGCAATGTGTAACAAACAATATGATTATTCACACTTAAAAAGCTATCCTGTTATAAATGGTTGGGAATTAACGTTTTCAATTAAGACTTTTAAACTTTTTTTCTATTGTTGGATTGCAAAATGAGCATCCCAAATTGCACATGTAAAGGATCTTGCACAGTTTGCAAAATTTTCTTCCCAAGCTACAGGAAACAAATTTTGGGAATGCAAAAGAGAAGAGCAAAGATTTCAGACTCAAAGCATGTTATTGACTCAACCACAAATCTGTTAACTATCAAAGACAAAATAGTACTTCTCTCTTATAAATGTGGTTATCAACCATTTTTACATATTTTTGTTAAAGTGTAACCTAATTGTTGATTCAATTACAATATCTGAAAATACCTCAAGTCAAGCCACCTGATTTTGGCATTTGGGTGAGAAGGGGATGCTAATATATATTTCAAAAACAACATTGTACTTTTCAGTCATTTTCATGGTTCTTACCAAAATTTAAAATCTGGAGATAGTGAGGGAATAAGAGTCAGGAAATAAACAAATATTAGATATGATTCCAGATTCTAAAATAAATATCAGCAAGTCAAAAGTAAAAACATGACAAATTAAATATTGTAGTTAAAGACCATATAAGTAATCTACAACTAAAAAGCTAGATATTAAACCTAAAATCATGTAACTATGTATGAAGCGGAGAATAATGCAGAAAGATGGTTTTCTATAGTGCTGCCAATGACAATTAATTTTTCATGAAAACAAAGAAATGAGAAACAGAGGTATAAAAGTATATTATTTTTTATAGTTGCAAATATTATGAATTCAAAAAGAAAAACTACAGATAACACTTCAATCATATACCTAAGCATCTAAAACGCGGCGCCCAAGATACCATTCAAGACAGGGCTCAACATCATGGATGAATTAACCTATCCGTGTCCCCGAGCTCACTGCATGTCATATACACCTGACCAACTGGGCATAGGAGCATAATGAGGAAAACTTTCAACACCACTGTGTACCTAAAAAATTAAGGGAGGAACTAATTAAAACGTATCCTCAGTTAGAAGAAAATAATGCATGCATAATAGCCACATGGACCTTGTGTATATAAATTGTTGTGGCAATAATTTGCAATAGAAAACATTGTTATAAATAAGATATACGAAATACCAACATTGCAATGGTTTTTTTTTTTTCATTCGATTGTACTGAAGCATGCATCTTAGTGGAGAACAATTAAGTACTACGTGAGGTCTATAATGAAATGGGAGATTGAATACAGTCGAGGAAACTGAAAATTCAAATATGCACACACTCCATAGTATTATCTTCACAACCAAAAGAAACGTTTATATATACGACATATGTTTGACATTGTTTTTCGCCACTCAAATTGTCTTGAGAAAATTTGACTACATTGAGAATAAGCAAAAGAGTACTTTTTACTACCTAATTTACTAACATCTACCAAATCCAAAAGCTACAAAACTTTGATTAAAGAATCATATAGAATAGAATGAGAAAGTTATTAAGACACCATATCTGAATTTTTTGCAAATAAAAACACCTGTATTTCACCTGATTTTCCAATGAAATATAGATGCTTGTATTTCACCAGTACATAAACATGGTTTTAAATATTAGTCTCATCTATGATATATTTCGTACTGTCATAGATAGAGAGATTAATAAAAGACCTCTCGCAATGTTACTGTGTCATGGTAATAAGGGGTGTGCTATCTACACACCCCATTTTACTTCTCACACACCCCTTGATAATTTCAGTCCGTTGATATTCTTCAATTCATTCGATCCGATGACCGAAAATTAAAAAGGTGTGAGAAGTAAAATGAGGTGTGTGGATGTCACACCCCTAGTAATAATTTATATTACTTCTTTTATTATACCCAAACCTATACCAGTTTGTAATATTCAACCAACTTTAAACCTTTTGGATTAGAACACGGGCAAATGAAAAAATAAGTTAATGCAAAATTTTTAGCACCTCAACTTGCAAAATATTTGCAATATATTGAGATCTATCACAAACAAAACAGTGTCGAAACCAAAGATGCTAACTCCCAACACAATCAAAACTACATATAGGAAAAAGGAAATGAAGCTTAAAAAGCTTAAATTAGGGAAAAGAGTTGGAGAAGCAACAACTGACATTATTTACCAAGGCTTTTCAAGGTTGGCAATATAATGGATATGCTTCCCAGGAGCTTCAACTAAAGCTTGATAAATTGTTGAAATGGGTTGGAGCAGAAGTAATTTGAGTGCCTTCTTTCTGACTACCAAAAAAATATATATATTTTAAGATTAGATATTACAAACTGCTGTACACATAGTAATAGAATCAGTGTTAATTTCTCCATTTTATAGCAATACCTCATAACAAATCATCGTCGACAAACGAAATGAGTTTTAGTTTTTGAATTAAAAAAGCCAAAACACATTTTCAGAGAGTCTGTTAGCCAGAGAAAATCAGAATAGCCAATAGCAGACAAATCCGGAAAAACAGATAGACACAAATAGAATCATTCAAATTTTGTATTTTGTTAGTTTCTCAAGCAGCCTTTACATATTCAATCTCCAAAACCCACAATTTAAACTAAAACCCACAAATTTAAACAAAAAACTCCATAAAATCATGAAAAATTTAATAAAATCCAAGTATATTAATCACAAATTCGATCACATAAATCTTCACATCCAATAAGTCTAGAAGGTACCTAGCTTCGTTGCAAAATCGTATCTATACATGCCAAAGCTCAAATTTCCTTGCAGCTGCCTTGATTCGATAAGTCCTGATTCAAGCAGACTTTAACAAAGGTTTTCAATCATTACTTTTTTAATTTGTTTTGGAAATGCGGTCAGGTCATGTTGTCTAAAACAATTGTTAACATGTTATTGTAGAATATATTATAGCAAGGAGTAAACAATTTAACACTCGAAAACCTGCAAGCCAGTGGCTCAAAGACGAAAAAAAACTGTACAAACCCAAATCAACTAAGTTACAAAATAACATCAGAGTCTGTGTAGCGATCTAGTTTTTTATTTTGTAATTAAATTTAATCTCAATTTTTTGCCCAACAATGGAACCATCAGAGGTTGTGCAGCAATAGTGCACAACAGTTTAGTAAACACCATAAGTGAATGGGGATAAGTTGAATATTAATACATATACATCTATTAGAATAGCTAAACATGTAACATAATTCACACCAATAAACCATCATTCAATTTGAATTTTGAAGTAATCTGTCCATATTGCCTAAACTACTTAACCGAAAGAGAACAAATTTACTGGAAAATTTCTAATTTTTCCTAATATGTTAGTAGAGAACAATTTCTTACATGTTTCAATATATCCACAAAAATTGTTCTTTTTCCTTATGAATCTGACACGGACACCTGCAACTCCCCTATAGAAATAAAAAAACAACCTGAAAAATTAAAAGGAAATGATTAGACCCAATAGTCTCTGATGAAATCCAACAAATTGAATAGGGGTTTACATAAATAGGCAGAAATTTAAAAAAAAAATCCATTCAAATACATGAACAAAAGATATTAAAACAACAAAAAATCAAGAGAAATCAACTTTGCAGTAAACTCTAGATCCAAAAACAAAAAAATTATTCCTTCTCTATTCCTTAGCTAGCCATCACTCTCAAAATTCCTCAATCCCTTATATCTCACAAAGAGAAACACATGCATGTCCATTTCAGCTCTTAAAACCGAAAGAACTGTTTCGGTTTCTTAGTTTCTTACCCAAATCCACCAATTCAAATCAAATTTTTGCAACACACATGTGAAATAGATACACAAAACACCAACATTACAATGGTTTTTTTTCATTCACAGATGTGAAACAGATACACAAAACACCAACATTACAATGGTTTTTTTTTTTTCATTCACAGATGTGAAATAGATACACAAAACACCAACATCATACATTCTTTTCTTGTGGCTTTGGTGGCTTTGGAAAATGGGTTTTTTTTTTTTTTGTTCAAGGCAATGGACGGCAGCAGAAAAGGGGGAGAGCAGACAAGCAGCAGATAAGCTGCAGAAAAACAGCAGAAAAGCAGGAAAAAAAGAAGTAGAAATTAAGCAGAAAAGCAAGAAATAATCAAATTGACTCGAACTTACCAATTTTTTTATTCAAAAAGGAGTTGGAATCAAACTAAACCTGAAAAATATCATATATCCAATATTAAGTGCATACACCTATAAACTAATCCTTATATATACTTTAAAATAATATGGATCAATGTAATCTAAAATGTTATTATATTCAATATGGCAATACCAAATTGTAAAGTGAACTCTAAAAAGTAAGGCCTAAGGTAGATATCTGTATTATATAGCAACTTCATTTCCATCAGAGAGTACACATCATTGAACAAACTAAGAAGATACCTGTTGTAAATTGAGAAGCTTCCTCTCAAGATCTCTAACAGCATCATGTCGCTCTTGAATTTCGGTCAGAGTGTCCATTATCTACAATTTGATACACAATTTTGGAAATGATCAATCTTAATCAGAAAATTAAGTTTTCAACAACCCAAGCTAGAAGAGTTAGGAGCTTAAAATTAATTGTTTAAGATGTCAAAAAATGTGTCAAGTTTGTGAGAGAATGCACAATTTCGATTGTAAAAAAGTGCTTATTTAGGGGCAGAGAATAAAAAAGGATATTTGACAAACCTAGCCTCCCCCTTGTTCTTGGATTGCCTTCTGGAAAATTTGTTCACCGTCTCCCGTCTCAATTAATCTTTCAATTGTCTGTACAAAGTAAAATAATTAGAAAATGAGCATTCACAGTGGTATAGATATACCGCAATTTCAATAGTGCAATAAGTTTTACCTCTTCATCAGCTCTTGCGCCCATCACTGAGATTCACAAAATGCAAGAGAAATAAACTATAAAATCAGATCATAGAAATTCAAGTAGAAGTTCCAGAAATAGCAACCACTGATGAGTGGCAAGTAAGGGGTTCAAACCTGTAAAAATAATGTACCACAAAATAATAGAAAGGCAACAACTTTACACATTATTACGTATAATTTTCATTTTCTATATAGTTTAGCATGTTTTTTGTTAGATGATCGATCTATACGCACACATGGCATATGTACATGGATATATACAACATAGAAAATAAACACAACTAAGATAAGGACCACCATCAAAATTGAACGGATAACGAAAATACATATCACCTTCTTTCCCATCTCTAATGCTATGTCATAAGTCCCTAAAGAAGCAACTGCCTGAAGGATGAAGAAAACCAGAAACTCATAATAACCATAGCAGACAAACCTAGAAAAAGACGGAAACAACAACAACAAAGCCTTTTCCCACTAAGTGGGGTCGGCTATATGAATCCTAGAACGCCATTGCGCTCGGTTTTGTGTCGGTAAAAAAAATAAATAAATAAAATAAAATTATTCAGATTTTGTATACTGTTAGTTTCTCAAGTAGTCTTTACATATTCATTCAAGATTATGCATCTATTAGAGTGCTTTAAGCAGAACGGTAGTGTAGTATTCAGAATTATATTCAAATGATCATTGAGGATTTTTTACAAATGAATCTCCCACTATTCTACTTAAAAAACCACATACTCAATACCAAGTGAAAATTGCATCGTTTTTACAAAACATTGAAAAACATATGAACTGATGCCCAACTTTAATTAATCTGACATTAATAGTTGAGTAATTCAACATTCAGAGTTGACAGGAGAGTATATAACATTGGAAAACATATGAACATGCCCACCTATTTGGCGGTTGAATAATCATCACATAAATTTACATTATTCACAAATTTGATCATTCAAATCTTCACATCCAATAAGTTTAGAAAGGTACCTAGCTTCCTTACAAAATCGTATCTCTACAGGCCAAGGCTCAAATTCCCTTGCTGCTGCCTTCATTCGATAAGTCCTGATTCAAACAGTCACATATATCAGATATATATATATATATAATAAGTTGATGCGTTCAATGGGCATGAACTTATCAGGTATTATGAAACCGATTGAACACGTTTAGTGTAATGTCTGCAATTAAATAATGAGCGTGAAAATGACTAACAGGGGTAACACAAACTGCTCAACTTAGGAATTAAAGCATCCAATATTTAGAAAATAATTGACAATTTTCATGGTCAAATTAATAAGGAAAATCATAAATAATAAACTCAATTGTTTCAACTGCTAATTCTGATGAAGCAGCAGTAGTTCGACATATTGCTTCTGATGAAGATTATTATATATCAGTGGTGCAAATTAGCAAAATAATAGTGCTTTCAGACTTTTTGAAAACATTTGAAAGTGCCTTCAGACTTAAATTCACCAATTTCATAACCTTCTCCATCAGTACCTTCACCTTCTCCGTCCCCTCCTCCTTCATCACCTACTTCATCAACTCTCAATATCACCAAAATTCTAAATGACTATCCAGGCTTCATAATAATTTTTTTATTTAGCCTAAAATAGGAAAAAACCCAAAACAGAAGATGTACAGAACTTTAGACACGAATATTTCAAGATATGAATTTGAGGTCTACTACACATCATTACAGAGGACTAAATTTAAGATCAATAGGATAAAAAGACATGCATTTTGATATTTTCATGCATGTACTTCTTGTACTCAATGCATTTCCGGAGGAGAAGAGAAGGATACCATCTCTTTATCCACTCTCTTCCAAAATAGTAGCATATCTCTGGCTAGTTTCCTTGTACGAATTGTAGCCCCCTCATCAATTTAAGAGATCTACTGACCTTCAATTTCACCTACATAGAATAAAAGAGTCGACAGTTCAGTATAAACATTACAAACGCCATCTGATGAAACCTAAACCCTACAAACGTCAGAAAAGGGTACAAATTTTAGAGAGACAACGCTGTCAAAATCTTACAGGAACAATCCTAGGTAGAGCAAATCTTTCAAAACCAACCCCATCCCTCCCTCACTCTCTCTCTCTGAAATTCTCACACCCCCATACCCTCATATATTCAGCATCACTACTCAACCCATAATTCTATCTCTGCATTCCCACTCCCCCATCCCCATGCCCCCAAATTCAGCATTTTTTTTCATCTAAATTACTATGAAAAAGTGTGATTAATAATCTTAACAACGTGCTCAAAATCAAGCCCAAATTATCCGAAATGGCATACACTTCAAAACAAAATTTTAATTCTGCTACAGGTAGGGGGAGACGGGTTAGGACAGTGGGAAATGGACCACTTTTTTTTTATTCCTTGATTCCATCATTTTGTAGGTGGTCTACGAACTCCTTAATTTAATAAGATTAGTTTAGGACTTGTGAGCATAGGTACTGCACGTTGATAACAAAACAATTTAAAAGTTGAGAAACCTTATCCACTCATCTATTCTATTAAACCTTAAAGATACCTCCCAATATAAACATAAATTAAATATAACTCGAAAAAATACAAATAAAACAAACAATAATCAGCAAACAAAAACCCTAAACATTCATATTTTTCAGATTCAAATGAAACCCAATTTCCACACATTAAATTCAAAATCCCATCAAAGAAAATCAAATGCTAAATCCAAAATCTGCATTCTCATCAAAAAAAAAAAAAAAAAAAAAACTTGATTTTAACTTTTATAAATGCAAAAAATCATATATGCAAACTTAAAGGAACAAACAAAAGAATTACTTACAGAAATTTCAAAAGCTTAATCATGCGCTTGATGGATCTAGTGGAAATTTGTTGGACCTTTTCCCTAATTAGATAGAATTCGACGTTGGCTGCAGCAAACTGAAAACACATTGTCACCAAGCATAAAAGCCGTTTTTCAGATGAAATGAGGGCATATATAAATATCATTCGGATTCAAAAAACTGTATACTAATTCCTGTTTAGATTTTTTAAATTATTTAGTTATTATGGTAAGAAACATAATTTAAATCATTATGAGAATAATATTTTAGTGGGAAAAGGCTTTGTTGTTGTTGTTTATGAGAATAATATTTTAACAGTCACAATAAATATCATAAATGAACTAATAAGACATTTGCATTCAAACAAAATACAAATGATTTAGTCAATTACTGACTTCAAATCTACTAATTTTGTGAGAGAGAGAAATAATTACAACATTTTTCTATGCACGACGATGATAAATATGACTCATAAATAGTTTTGACCTTAAATAAAAGAAAATGCTCAGGAAAATCAAATTTAACAGAGGTCAATACCTGTACCAGGGAAAAGAATGGATGCATCCATTTCTGTAAAGGCTGCACTGCCCAAGAAGTAAATACATTATGATGAAAGTATATTCATAAATTAATTAAAAAATGAAAGGAAATTATGCATCACGATTTCGACTTACTTTTTTGGCAACTTGTTGCAGTGAAGAAGAGAGCCAGAGGTACCGTATCAGGTACCCACCACCAACGCTGTGTAATGATTTTCAATATAAAAAAATAAATAAAGAACACGTTAAGGGCTTGAATTGCAGGTGCACTCTCTCAGTTAGTAGCAAATAATATAGTCATGCTGCCTAACCATGATAAAAATTAACAATTGTGGAGATATATGTGAGCTCCAAGAATCAAATCAAATCCATTTGTATACTTGCCCATTCTATTTTCTCAGCTACTAATTCTGCATATACATAATCAAAATGAATTATTAGCCAAGTCCACTTCACATCATATGTTTTGAGATTATTTTCTCACCAGAACAACAGTTAGAATTCTATGAAGATACAAACGCATGCAGATCTATAGTTTTCTTCAGGATCTGTGACAAAAACATAAGCACGCTTCTTATTTCCAAGAATCATGTTGATGAAAACGTTTCATCTCTTCATATTTTATGTCCCGGCCGATAGTAAACTCCTCTGTTCTTCGGATTTTTCTGTTGTCTTGCATCTTGCGCATTAAAAATTGAACGGACTTAAAGGCTGCCACTTCTAAGTAGTCTTTGATGTCAGGCAGTGACCACCTGTAACACATGAGTAATTGTCTCTCAGTAATTCAGAATTCACCAGAAAAACAAAATATTATCAAATAAGTAATAATTGGAAAAACATAAACAACTTACAGCCTCCAGCTGTATGAAAATGCTTGTTTAATTTTCTACTGCTGCTTTTAGGAGATGGAAATGGAGGCTTTTTCTTGTCTTGTGCTCAATGATATCAATTTCAGCTTGCTCCCAAACGTACTGCAAAAGCTAAAAGAAAGTTACAGACTTTGCAAGTAAACAATAGCCGCTAATTTTTCTCCAAAATTTTCAGATACCTCATTCCCAACCATACATCCAAATAAAATAAAAGTAAAAACTCCACAGTACCAATACACAACCAAAATTTGAACCTGAAAATCCATCTTCAAAGTTCTATCAAATGCGAGCATTTACTCAATTTTAAGAAGTTGTATTGTTAAAACTTAAATCCCATGATGAACCCACCTTCCTTAATCTTTTCTAAAGAAGCAATAATTCACATAATGTATCCAAATTAGAAAATAACATATGATTCATGATATCTTATACTTTCATATCCAAGTTATGTTTATGCAAATCATGAGAGACACGCATTTAAATCTCATCCCACACGCCCTAAGTAAAAAAGAAACCAGCTCCTCCATCATTCAATGTCCAAGCAGATTTAGCATGTGGAGTAATAGAATATCAAAACGCAAGTTACAATTTTTAATGTACTTTAATAATTATTTCTTCAACTTTACCTCCAAGTAGTTCTTCCGATGGAAATAATTGATTTCCAGTGCCTAAGCAGTGAGGCACCCTTTCTTTCCCACACTCTCCTTAACAATCCATGAACCTGAAGAGAGAAGAATCAGTAATAAGTTAATTGATCTTAGTTGGTTCCATAACTTGCTAATACGAAAAGAGAACAAAACAAAAAAAGTTAATCGAAGGATTTTACAAAAGCTACAAAAATTAACTAAATCTCACATCAAAAGAACCCAGAAATTTAATGAAGAATTCTCCAAAACCCACAAATTAAAAACGTAAAATTCTACAAAATCATGAAAAATTTAATACAATCTAATTATATTAATCACCAAATTGAATTAGATCTTCACATCCAATAAGTAACAGAGTTTGAAAACATTATACCCCAAGAAACCCCAAATTTACAGAAATTGGGAGCAAAGATCGAAGAGATCTCATGAAGCCGACATCGAAATCGTCAATCGTGTTGCAGAGCACAGTTTTTTCGTTTTGGATTTCCAGATAAAGATTCAAACCCAAAACTAAGTAATTTATAAAAAAATGCACTGAATCGATTCGAGAAAGTGCGAAAATTATCAAACCTCAAGATCTCTTCCGTCGTTTGCGGACTCGAGCCCATCTCCATGCTCCTCTCCTCCATCTCACCGAAGCTCTCGAGTTACAGAAATGAAGGCCACTTTGAGTGGTTTTGATTTTAGGAAGCAGGAAGCCGATGCTATTCCAAAGATGGTGTTGTGGCTGCTAGGGTTTCAGAAAGGGAAAACGAAGCCAAATGAAATCGAGGATCTGCAGAAATGGTGCTGAGATCCCCACTCCTCCCGCTCCCTCTCTCTCGCTCTGTCTCTCTCCCTATCGGAGGCATGGCCTCCCATTCCCGAAAGCACTCACTGAATGACAGCAAACCTAAACCCACCCCAATCTGTCTCAAACGCACAGGACAAAATTGCCCTTCCAACCCAGCCCCAATATCAGCCCAAACCTGACGGCTTTGCTGTAAATAGGACATTTAATCTGCAAAAAAATTCATCATAATCAGGAACCAACAAAAGGGATAGATGAGTGAAAGATGTTGGTAAGATGAGAGTTGAATCAAAGGAATCAGTAGTGTAAAACTGACAAAATGCTTACAAATTCAACTCCAATTGTGCTGATGTAGCTATCCAAGTATGAATTATCCTATTCAACGATTCCGAAGCTCAGACAAAAATTGCATGAGAAAAATTGAGATTATATGCAATTGTATGTCAAATAATCTGAAAAATACCATATATCCAATTTAAGTGCATACACCTATAAACTAATCTTCATATATACTTTAAAATAATACAGATCAATGTAATCTAAAACATTGGAAACATTATCATACAATTAAAGAATCACGATGCAGAAAATGTTCTTTCCATTATTTTCAAATAACTTTTCACCCCACAACACTGAGCCTCTGCTCATGACCCCTACCCCTCTCCCTGAAATCCTGAATACCCCATATGGTTCTCTCTCTCTCTCTCTCTCTCTCTCTCTCTCTCTCTCTCTCTCCCCAAAATGGGAAGTGGAAAGTTTGGTCATGCAAGACTTAAGACATTAATTATTTAAAGGACCTAATGGATGGCAGAAAATGGTTGGGGGAGACGGGTTAGGATAGTAGGAAATGGACCAGTTTTTTTAATTCCTTGAGTCCATAATTTTGTAAGTGGTTTGCCAACTCCTTAATTTAATAAAATTAGTTTAGGACTTTGTGAGCATGGGCGCTGCATGTTTACAACAAAACAATTTTAAAGTTGAAAAACCTAACCCACTTATGTAATGTATTAAACCTTAAATACAGCTCAACCTCTAATAATAATCTTATTAAATTAAACCATAACCAAATTAAATAATGCAGACACAAAAGCACAACTATTGTCACACGAAGGAATTCACGATTAATACAATGTATATCTGTCGATAAAAAGATCTGTAGTAGCAAGCAATTCATCACACTATATAATCTGTCATATCTACCGTGCACTGCACTACTTGGTCTGAAGTAGAGAAAAGAAACTAAGTATATCGTATAAAACCTCAGGGCAAACAAATAACTATAGAAGACAACGCATCTAATTGCAAATCACATGTACATCAAGGTTATGATCATCCATGTCTAGGTTTAAGACAATTTTAAGTAAAATTGCCACTATATATACACGGAGGGTGTCAAAGGAATTATATACTTTAATTAGTAAAATCAACGGCATATAAAATCCAAAAAGGGAATTCAAATTGGAACAGACGGAAAATAGATAAAAGATTTACCAGAAGCAAAACAATCACACAGTATTATCTCCACAATGAAGAAATTGCATCGCCAAAATGGAGATAGATAAGTCTCAGACGGTTTATAGATGAAGGGAGATAGCAAAAATAAAAAGCGTAATCAGACAGATGAACAATGAAAATTAAACATACCAGGTGAGCAATACCAGACATTCCTGCCTTCAAGCAATCGGATATTGTCTCCATGTTCAACTAAACCTCTATAGAAAACTGCAAAAAAACAGATGAGAATCATTTAGAAACGGGGAAAAAGTTTTCCATTAGCATTTTTCCAAAAGAAGGCAATCAATTGCTTTCACATGTAAAAAATAAAGTTTGAAAATTAAAAATGAAGCAAGTTGAGGAGCAGAAGCAGGTGACGGTAGACGATACATAAGTTTTTAGAGAATATCAAAATATATAATCTAGAAAAACAAATAAAGCAGCCAATCCGAAGTTAAATAAACAGAAAGAAAAAGACAACTTGAATTGAAAAAAATTCTTTTCTAAACACTTCATTTTCTATATTCTATTGGGTTCAATTTTTCACCAATTCTGCTTGGTTAAAAAGACATACCGCCTTCAGAAAATGACAATCTGCTTGGTTATATAATCTAGCACCAATTCTGCAACTCCTTTCATGGATGCAGCTGCCTTGAACAGATCGGATTACATATGGCCAGCAGAGACGAACAATCTAATTCCTAATGGAAGACGACATTTATCAAGCGATGACTTTTTGGAGGCAACCACAAAGATGGAATGCTCTTTCAACAACTACATAACCGCAACCATTACAATTAAAAGTAGAGAGGCAGAAAAGGACAGAAAAGGATTCACAGAATCTGCTTTCTGTAGTCTGAGGAAGACAATTCAGGATTCTGGACTGCTAGCGAATGAGAGGCCCTGTATAGCTGACAATCCTGCACACCACATCACATCACGTCACATTTCTCAATCAAGAGAATCATAATGCAAGGCAGGCAGTAAGTGATCTCACAACGCAAAGGGGATGCCAAGGAAATTGATCAAGTGATGAGTACACACCACGGCGCTGACAACTGTCCAGATACAGAATAAAGAACATCAAACTACATGCAAGTGAATAAGAGATCAAGAACATACCTTTCCATAATATGGCAATATTTTTCTTCAGCTTTGTTATCAGACCAGGGTTTTCCTCGAGGATATCAATGGCAGTAATGGCAGCACTCGCAAGATATGGGGGCAAAGAAGCAGAAAAGACGTACCCAGAGCTACTCAATCGCTGCCAAATACCATATCCCAAAATTTTATCATTTAGAAACTTTTGACGCTTTTTGTTTAATATATGCATGCACATAAGTGATTGTGAGCACATAATTAAGCATTCACTAAAATAGAAAGATAAGAAAGTCATTTGCTTGTTAAAAATTTCATCTATCAACAGAGACATCATATAAATGGTTAATAGTGTGTATTCGGTAAACATACTTGGTGATTGGTGACTCTAGCACTTCCAGTGCAAAATCCTCCTTCTGTGGCTAATGCGTGTCCCATTGCACCAGTAATAATATCTAATTTTTCAACCTGCAAAATCACACCACCAGAAATCACAAACAGGTAATGGATCAATAGTTATGAGAGATACAAAAAAAGACGGGTTTCTAAAAATACCGGAATCCTACAGTATTCAGTTACCTCTTCCAGATTTTCCAAGCACACCAAATGAGTTACTCTCATCCAATAACACATGAAACTTATATTTCTCCTTCAATTCAACTATCTTGTCTAAAGGGGCTATTTGGCCAGAATTCTGCAAATTTTATTAAAAGGAAACAAAATTCAAATAAAATCAACCTACATCTAATTGCATTCAGCTATTGAAGTTCTCAGAAAAACTGAAGACAATTTGTCAAGATGCAAATGACAACGTTGAATGCTGAAAAGACAGTTTGTTTTTCTATTTGCCAGTGATTCACGTAGAGATGGAAGCTTTCCTAAAAATGTAACATGACACCAAGACTTTAAGAAAACCTTAAAAAATTGTGTCCACTGAAGTATGAGCAACCTATTTTGTGAAAGTGGATGATGCTGGATTGAATCATAAAACAGCTCACAACATATAAAAAATGAATAAATAAAATTTGATATACGGGAAAGCAACATACAGGAAAATCACCAAAAATACCAACGAAAAAAAGGGAAAACAATATACAGGAAAATACATTATCTTCATAAGTAAGAAGCAGATTGGAACAATGGAATTAGCAAAAAGCAAAAAAGCCCCAGCTCAAAACCCAATTTTTTTTCTAAATCTAATCCTAGATATGAACATTTCAGCGAAACCTAAACCCTGGACAGGCACAAATATTCAACTCTTCATAGAAAATTTACAAAAATTTAAAGAATGACAACCCCAGCAAAAACAAAAAAAAAAAATAATCCAAACATATCCAAAATTAGCAAGAGAAACACAAACCCAAAAGCAAATCAGCCTCTCACACTAAGCAAACACAGTAGCAGCCATGCACGCCCATGGCTCTTTCATCTCAGGAGGCCATGACTGACGACGGAATAAACAAAAATACCAAAGAAAGATCAGATTCCAAAAAAAACCCAAATCGAAATGAACCCTAGAAATTGAAATTCAGAATTGAAAATTCAAATTGGGGGAGCTCTGATATTTTACCTAAATAGCAACTTAGGAGTTGCCGCTGCACCACTAATTCACAACTAAGCCGTAGCCATATCCATTCCTCAACAATCTTTGAATTCTAATTAAAACACAAAAAATATTAGAAAATGGTTAAAGATAAGTTATATAACCGCAGGCAAATCCATTCCTCAGCAATCTTTCAATTTTAATTATAAAAAATAAAAAAAAAAAAAAATTGTTAATGATAGGTTACACACCTGACCCAGAAAGCGTTTGCAAACTCCCAAAACAAAACCCTAAAATTAGAAGATAAACGTTTCCTGAAACCAAAAATGAAATCAAACAAAAAATCCACACACAAATCAGCAAAAAATAAAGAAAGCATTTAGCAAGAATCGAATTTTACAACAATCAATTAAAAAAATCTCTCCAGATGAAATGTTCTATTTGTCCTAATAATATATATATATATATAAGATTAAAAAGTGAGAGAGAGAGAGAGACGAACCTTCATACGGAGGCTAGCGATCCGGAGCTCGAGAAATCTGTGGAAGCAAATGAAAAGGCCCTGATTTTCCATATTTCTTCTGCTCTAGGATGAGAGAAACGGAAGAGATGGAGCTGTGGCTGCTAGGGTTTGAGGAGGACAGAAACAGGAAGAGTGATAGATGAGAGGGCTCGCGTAGGAGAGAGAGGAAGAGTGAGAGATGAGAGCTGGTTGGGTTCTACTCCTGAGACTCGTGTCCCGTTAACTACAGGCCCCCATACTTGTCTCTGACTGTCCCCTCCTCCCACTCATGAAATCGAGGATCTGTAGTAGCAATGGCGCTGAGATCCCCACACCTCTCTCTCGCTCTGTCTCTCTCTCTCCCTCTCTATCGGAGGCATGGCCTCCCATCCCCGAAACCCTCACGGAATGACAGCAAACCCAAACCCACCCCAATCCGTCTCAAATGCACAGGACAAAATTACCCTCCTAACTTTTAATAACTACGTTCCAACCCAGCCCAAAATCCCACGGTTTTGTTGTAAATAAAGCAAAATCGAGGGGGGAGGAATTGACCTCAAAAGACAAAATTACCCTCTGAATTTTTGAGAATCACCCTCCCAACCCAGCCACATTCGGCTGGCATTGTTGTAAATAAAGCAAAATCAAAACAACCGTGAACAGTGCCTGCCCTCCCCCTACTTTAGAATAAGTAATTTTTGATTTTTTTGTGAGAAAAAGTTTAGGCCTGGGAGTTATTTCTTTGACGATTTACAGAAGGGGTTTTAACTTTTTTTTTTTTTCATTCATAAATCGCCCATCAAGAGAGACTGTCAACTCAAACCTAGGCCTTCTTTTCAAAATTCTTACATAACAATATTGGGGCAAAAGTGGAAGTAAACTGTCAAAGGAATGATTCTCTCCCATAATTATTTCATCAGAAAAAAAAAAGATTTAACCATAATTAATGAGTAATGTAAGAGAAATTAAATTTGTAGATACAATTTTATAAGCTAAATGATATGGAAGTTGATGACTAAATTATTATTTAAATATTGATAAGCATACTTATTCTTATTTGGTCTACAAATTTTCTCTCTAGCATACCATAATTAATTAGTAGGACAAGCGGCAAGCAATGGTAGCATGAGTAATGTGGGTAGAAAAAATGGCCTTCAAGTCTTCTGTACCATGCCTTTGTGTCACATGGAAAGTAATTTTGATCACCACCATAAACAATGATGTAGTTCATCATACACCTAATCATTTGATACGTGTCATTTTACTTAACATTGATTAATTTTTTTCCAAATTGAAAAAGTAACATTTAATGTGAAAATTAACTAGAATTAAGTAAAATGACACACTACAAGTATGTGGTGAGTATATACATCATAGCATGATGGTGATAAAAAATGCTGCATGCCAAATAAGTGTCAATCTCGTATATTTTGACACATAACCCTTGAACATAATAGCGCTAACTTAATAAAATTAGAAAAATAAAAAATAATAATTCAGAAAATCCAAAAGCTTGCCCAACCCCATCAGCCTCATTTTCTCTCTCTTTCTATGGAACCAAATGTGAAATTGAAGTTGTGAGATTGAGAGAGTGCGTTTGGCGGTTTCTTGGACGAGAAGTGGTGGTGAGATTGCGTGGGGCGGTGGGGGATGTTGAGTTTTAGGAGAGGTGATTGTGGTATAGCTCAAAAATAGAACCATTTGGAGCTGGACAACCAAGAGGTCCAGTGAGTAAGCACCGACGAGGATTTTAGTAGGTACCATAGAGATCGTGGTGGGCGATTCGAGTGCGTGGATCGAAAATTTTTGCGGGCCGCTTCATTTTGGAATTATATTTAGGCTAAGTTGTGTCCTATATGGATTGAGTTTCGTTCCCTGATTACATTCCTATGTAACCCTCGTTTCTATACTCTATAAATCGAACTTTAAGGATGGTTTATTTTGTAGTGGCAAATTTGTGACAGTTTTGTCAGAGCCACTTTGTAAGTTTGAGAGTTATAGAGCGGTTTGGGAGAGTCTTCTCCGTTTTCGTTTGGTTTTGTTAGGCTTGTTTAGTGGAATTTTCTTACCATGCTTCGCATATACACACAGGCTTCCACACCAAACCACGTAATTCTCCTGTTTTATTTGAGATTGTTTTTAGTTTTCGCCTACGACTTTAATATCCAGTATTGCTATTAGAATCGTTTGTGTTTGAGATGGAGATAAGTTTGAGCCCAAAATGCAGTGAAGAGAAGAGAAAAATCATAACCACCAGACAGTCATCCACTTGTCTTACCTATGTATATTTGTTAAACTATTATTAATATGCATTAAGTCAACTGTCTACAACCTACAATATACATATTTGTCAATCTAGAATTAGCATGCCTTAAATACGAGAAATTTTTAATTGTGACGGGAACACGTATGATACACCATGTGTTTTTATGCAAGTGGTGGAAAATTTTAATTTTTAAATTATTAACCTTTTAACACATATAACCCACTATTTATATAAGGACACGTGGTATACGTAATCATTCACCATCTACTTCTATATAGGGATACATGGTGTACATAAGAATTTCAACATACTTTGAATTTTAGCAATCGAAAATGTTATAATATGAGCAAAAGACAAAGTGAACTTAATCATTCACCATCTACTTCTATATCTATCCCCACTGATATATGGGTGTGAAAGCCACAATTTATTCTCATGCAAATAATTAGAACTACGTGTCGATATATAAGTTCGTATTACCGGTTGGCCACGACTGAAGAACTCCGAACGTCCAATATCCAAGAACACACTGCCTTCATTCACCACGTACCCCAGTATCCAGATGCGCCTGTCGGCCGACCAAATCTTGGTGCAACTTTTTTTCAAAATTTAGCTCACCCACCAGTACTTAGACGTGTCATGATTTCTTAAATATCTTCCGTGCATGACAGTTTTCCTCTCCCTCCCGGTTTCACAAATAGCACAGCCACCTTTTTTTTTCCCTTGTTCTAGCTTAATCAGCTCTTCAACAAATAACACACTGGCCAATATTTTAGCTTCCAATGGCAATGGCCTCTACTTATTTTTCTACTTATTTGGTGGCACTGTTCTTCTTGGTTGTAGCTGGGTTTGATGCCTGCTCGGCTAGCCGGATTGGTTTGGGTTCAAGGCTGTTGGCTAGAGAGAACCAAACGCTGGTCTCAGATAATGGCACATTTGCTTTAGGGTTCACTCCAACGTCGGACGATGACTACAGACTTCAACTGGCTATTTGGTTTGCCGAGCTTCCCGGAGATCGAACCATAGTATGGTCTGCTAACAGGTTAATCATCCAAAACCTCCTCCTTTTTATCCCTAGAAAAAGCAAATTGACAAAACGAGATCTTAACCAGTAGGTCTAGGTCGATAAATATTACGAAAGCAAATATATTTCTCTCTCTTTATGTGTTTTCTTTTTATTTTTCATTGAATTATAACTTGCTTAATAATTTTTTAAACTTGTGTCCATGAAAAAGTCAGTAAAGAAAGATGAATGAAAATGTTATGTTTGACTTACAAGGCTAGTGAATTTTTATGTGTATCATACTTTAACTAGTCCAAGAACAAAAAATATCCTGAAAAATTAGTTGAAGTGATCAATTTACAAATGGCATTTGTTAAAATGATCTGATTTTTCGATATCTGATCGATATGTTATCAGTCTTTGACTTTGATCCATCATTTTGCCGAATATCTTGCATATAGAATGTTGCATATAAAGTGAATGATTAATAGACTTCGACTAATTAGAAGGAAAAAAAAAGAAAGATCACAAACCAGTCCCCCCATCTCTAGTCTTTACAATAGCTTTTGCAGGTTACAAATTTCATTTTCTCTCAATCGTCTAAATATATAGGAACTCAGCCGTCTCCAACAATGCAATCCTAGAGCTTGATACAACCGGAAACCTTGTCCTCACGGATGGAGACGCTACCACGTGGACCTCAAACACCTCTGGCACTGGTGTTGAAGGCGCAACATTGCAAGAATCCGGAAATTTCGTTATCTACAATGATGTCAAGGGCCCGGTGTGGCAGAGTTTCTCACACCCATCTGACACTCTCCTCCCAAACCAACCTCTTTCAGTCTCTTTAGAGCTAACAACTTCTAAGTCCCCCTCACATGGTGGTTACTATGCACTCAAAATGCTTCAACAACGCACTTCTTTAAGCCTTGCCTTGACTTACAACGTGCCTGAAACTTTATACAATTCCTCCCCTGAATCATACTATAACTATTCTTATTGGAACGGACCAGACATATCAAATGTAACCGGGGATGTTGTAGCGGTTTTAGATGAAGCAGGAAGTTTTGGAATTGTGTATGGGGAGTCATCAGATGGAGCTGTTTATGTGTACAAGAATGATGGTGATAATGGGGGACTATCAGCAGCATCAAACATATCAACCAGATCATCGGTTCTTCGAAGATTGATTCTCGAGAGTAATGGGAATTTGCGCTTGTATCGTTGGGATAATGATGTTAACGGGTCAAGGCAATGGGTGCCAGAGTGGGCTGCAGTTTCAACACCATGTGACATCGCTGGAATTTGTGGCAATGGGATATGTAATTTGGATAGGAGTAAGACTAATGCTTCTTGCACATGTCTACCGGGGACTTATATGGTAGATGGGGGAAGTCAGTGTTCAGAAAATTCGTCACTTATTGGAAAATGTGATCCGCGGAGTAATTATCAGCCATCCCAGTTTAGAACTTCAACGGTGCAGCAAACCAATTACTATTTTCCAGAATTTTCAGTCATAGCAAACTACAGCGATGTTGATAATGTATCAAAATGTGGAGATATTTGTCTAACCGATTGTGAATGTGTTGCTTCAGTTTACAGCCTTGATGACGAAAGTCCATACTGTTGGGTTTTGAGAAGCTTGGGTTTTGGTGGCTATGAGGATCCTGGTTCCACTCTGTTTGTGAAGATTAGGTCTAATGGCTCAGAGGGCGATGCACAAGGATCCGGGGAGTCTTCGAAGGGGTCTGGTAATCGGCGAACAAAAGTTCTGGTTATTCCTATTGTTCTCAGCATGACCTTCCTTGTTGCCCTCCTATGTCTTTTGCTATATTACAATGTGCATAGGAGGAGATCCTTGAAGAGAACACTGGAAAGCTTGGTAATCTTGTCTGGTGCTCCGCTTAATCTTAGTTACCGCGAATTACAAATTCGTACGTGGAACTTCTCACAGCTTCTTGGAACTGGTAAGAATGGACCATATACATAATAGTAATTTGCTATTTTCTT